CTTTCTGAAAAAGGGGCTTTCCTGAGGCCTTGCCCCGGGGCTGTGGCAGAAGTCGCCTGGTACTGTTGGGTTACTCACATTCGATGTTCTGAATGTTTTTGTGTTTTGTCAGGCCATGAGCTACTCACTTTGGTTAAGTACTGTTTGGACACTTGTTATAAGTAGCTGCCCAAGAGCGAGTGGTTGTAGAAAATGAGCCTCAGGTGGCAGCGGTGGCAGCCTGGGGAACGCTGGGCTGCAGGTTGATGGGCCCTGAGGAGCATTTTCTGCAGGGAGCATCTTTTTTTTTTTGCAGAACCGGGGATTGAACTCAGGCCCTTGTACTTGCCAGGGAAGCACTTATTCCACTGAGCCATCTCCCCAGTCCCCTTGCCCTAGAAATTTATAGAAAGCATGAAACTAGGCATTGCACTAGGCTTGCTGTTCCTGGAGCAAGGCAGCGTCTTGGGGCTGCCCACAGAGGCCAGGTGGGCCAAAGAGCAACCCAGAAGGAGCCTTCCAGGGAGGGTCACACACAGCCTTGGAGTTCATTCTCCTTCTCTCGGTTGGCTGTGAAACAGCATTAACATTGCTGTACGCAGACCTTCTACCACCCTTCTGTTGAGAAGAAAGCTCTTGGAGCTGGTTCAGGGATCTCCTCTCTGCGGTCTGCTCCCGCTCTCCAGGAGAGCAGCTTCCACGGAGCTCAGGCTGAAACAATAGCGACAAGAGGAGACACAGCTTGTGACCATTGCTAAGTAGCCCGAGGAAAACGGCATCAGCTTGAAAAGCTGATCTAGAGAGAGGTGGCAGCATCAAAGTGTTCATGCCTGGGGAAGCCCCCAGCTTGAGGGGCACCGGTTCCCTGAAGCGCTTCGCCATGTGCTGTGGCCTTGGGATTTTTTTTTTCTTTTTTGTCTTTTTGAAACAGTCTCGCTATCTTGCTACACAGTTCAGGCTGGCCTTGAGTTCACTTTATATCCCAGGCTGGTCTAGAAGCAGTGATCCTCCTGCCTCAGCCTCCCGAGTGCTAGGATGATGGGCCATCACGCCTGGCCTTTGCCCTGAGGAATTTCTGTAATTTCCTACCCTTTATCACACAGAAAGTCCCAGAACTCGTTTCTTTTATTTAAATAGAGGGAAAGAAGAAAGATCCAGACAGGTAGCTCAACACAGAAGCTGAGAAGCCCACCCAAGGAGTTTGCACTGCTCACTGCCCTGGGCTTTGTTTCTAGCATCTGGCAGAACCTGTGGACACCCCTCAGATGGCCTCTGGCTTTGAGGCCACCATCAATAACTTCGACAAGAACTTTTCTGCTCATCTGCTTGACCTGCTAGCCCGACTGAGTGTCTATAGCACCAGTGACTGTGAGCACGGCATGGCCAGCGTCATCTCCAGGTACGCATTGCCACCCGGCTGCCCGGTGCTCTTCCCAGCTCTGCGGCCCCAGCGTGCCCACTTCTGTTCACCACAGCTGCTGCTTCGTGCAGCCCTGGGCAGGCAGGTCCCTTGTGCTGGCTGACGACGTGGAAGGAAGAGGGCTTGGCTGGGGGCTGCTCAGGGAAGACAGTAGCTTGCTCGTTGCTACGATGTTGTTAGGAAACGGGCCCCAGCTTCAGCCAGGAAGAGGTGCTGTGCTTGCGCTGCCCTTGAGGAGGTACTTGTGTGTGCGTTGAGAGCACCTGCTCTCCGCCGCCCGCTGACGTCCTGCTTGCTTGAATGGGGGCTTCTGAGTTCATCGGCCACAGAGCTGCTACGAAGTTTGTCGTGTCTGGGGCCCCCTCAGCCTCCCGCCCCAGCCCCGCTGCCGTGTGATGCTGGAGCAGCAGTCCCAGCATCCGAGGCCTGTGCCCCAGCCGTGCCCTGCTGGCTGTGTTTCCACTCGAGTGCTCGAGGAGCTCTGCTGCTTGGCTTCGAGTCTGCGTGTGTGGGGCTCTGTATTGATTAGAGCAGTGAGGGCTGTGTGACTGGGCCTGTGCATGTCGTGTCGGTCAGTGGAGCGCACACCCTCACCCTCGGCCTCAAGGGGACCTTGAGCTATGTGGACTGCTGACTTACCGTGTGGGAGAGATGGCGCTGCCGCCACCTACACCTGTGCAATCCTGAGCGTGCCGGCTGTGCTTCACCCTTCCCAGGAGGACCCCCAGCTCTGTCTTCCCTCTCTCACAGGCTTGATTTCAATGGCTTCTATACAGAACGACTAGAGCGCCTGTCTGCAGAAAGGAGCCAGAAAACAGCCCCCCAAGTGCCTGTCCCGCGTGGACCCCCCTTACCAACGCCAGCACCAGCACCCAGAGTGGCAGTTACTGCACAGTGAACCTTGACCACGGCTTGAAGCAGGGGTTGGGGGCCAGGCGGTGCTATGATGCAGTGATCTCGGGTTTAAATCAGATGTTTCTGAAACACGTATGTTGTGTGTGCTGTTACATTTAAATATTAGGTCTGAATTCATCTTGGCTCAGTGCATTTGTTTGTGTTTTAATCTGTTTTATCTATTTATTTGGTACAGGGTCTCGCTACACAGCTCGCACTTGTAGTGATCCTCCTGTCAGCCTCCCCAGTGCTGGGATTACAGGTGTGTGCCGCCACGTTCAGTTTCACTAGCTGGCATGGAGCACCTAGGGTTCTGAGGCCAGCATGGCATGTGGTACCGGGGATTGAACCCAGGTCCTTGTGCTTGCCAGGCAGGCACTTTAGACCGCTGAGCTATCTCCCCAGCCCATGCATTTATTTTCTTAAGGTGCAAGGTTTCATTTTATAGAATAGCCCAGACCAGGGTGATGTCTTCCTGGACTTACCAATTTGTTTTATTTTTAGTGCTTTTGGTCTCAAAGACAGTTTTAAAAACCCACCACAACAAACATGGTATATGAGCATTCAGCAAAATACTTAGCAGGTGCTGCGTACTGGCCTGAGGGCTCGGGCTGGGCTCCCTGAGATCCCACAATGCTGAAGGTCTGAGCACTGCTTTTGCTCTAGGCACTAGGGGGCAGCATACTGCCAAGCTGGGAAGACGCCTCTAACACCCCCGGCGGCATCGGAGTGTCCTGTTTCCTTAGACCACTTCCCTGAAGTGGACTCACTGAAGAGTATCCTGAGGGACAGGCTTTTCTGCAAGGTGACACCCTCATCCTCATACCCATACTAGGCAGCATTGCACAGGACAATTGCTCTGCTGGGGTGTTTGTTTCCCCAGCCACACACTGCTCTAATCTGCAGCTTGTGCAGACTTGACTGAGTAAACACTCATCTGCCAAGCCAGCTGCCACAATAAACGCCAGACTGAGCTAAGGAGCTCTTGGCCTCAGCAAAGAACCAGAAATCCCATGTTCTGGGCCCTTCCTCTATTCCAGAGCTTACAAGAGGTCAGGATGGGGCCTTCTGGGTTAGCTCTATTGTTTTAAGCACCTGCTAGGGCAAACCCAGGTGCAGGGGACCGTGGTTTGATCCCCAGCTCCCCATGCCTTTCCAGACCCTCACTTAACGCAGCCTGAACCAGCCAAAAAAAAACCTTCACAAGAGGTCAGGAGTTGGGGCTGGTTCCTTGAGGCTGAGGCATCCTGGCTCCCACACCCTCCCACTGCCTGCTGTGTCAAGGTGGTAGAGATGAGTTGTGCTGTCCTGTGGGATGGGCAGGCAATGGTTGTGTCTGGAGGGTGCTGTTCCTGCTAGATCAGGCTGCTCCCAGTTGATGCTGGCGATTGGGTATGAAGTGCTTTTCATTTAGCCTCACCTGAGTAGTTTGGTTTACTTATCAAGAGATATATACAGGCAGTATTGCCGGTTTTGGCTTTTAGGTGCTTTTTGCTGGCAAATAATTGTAACAGGAGGGTAAGGAAGAGAAGTAAAACTGCCAAAAGCATGTGTGACCTCAGGCAGAAGCCAGCAGGACCCAGGAGCCCCACTCAGAACCTGGAGGTTCTTCAGCCTTGAGTTCCACAGGTCGTTGCCTCAAGTGACCTGCCCTTCCCCGGGACACCAAAACATCCTGCTCCGTTTCTGACTCCGTGTCATTCATGTTGGAGCAACCGTGTGCTAGTACCCCTTCAGCGTTGTCCCCAGACAGCCCGGAAGCCCCAGCCCTGCCTGTCTCCCTGCTGGTCTGGCCCCTGATCTGCAACACTCTACCTTCTAAACCAGGAGGAAGGTTGAGCTGCCCAGCCCTTGTACTCCTTAGATTGTCCCTGGTGGGGGTGGGTCTGGAGAGAGTGTAGAGTACTGTACCTCCAAGGCTGGGCCACAGTGGGACACACTGCTACAAAGGACAAACAGGCAGACAACCCCAGGAGTCCAGGGTTCCCTGGTGACGGACCCATCTGGAGAAGCTGGGAGCCATGTTACAGTGGAGGTGCCAGACGCTCTGGTTCTGGGGCAGCTTCAGTCTGCAGGGCAGGAAAGGTGAAAACTAAAGCTTACTTGGGGAGCTTGGCCCACTGGGACTCCTACAGCCGGACTGCAGACATGTCCTTGGAGCAGCTCCGGCAGCCCCTGTGGTGGGACCCTCACCTGCCGGGCTCCTCTGTATTGCCTCTTCTCTGTGAAGTTTCAGAAGCACTACACAGCATTTGGCGTCACCTGGCACAGACCTACCCTGTGCTCACATAGCCATTTCTTGTTACTAAGTGCTTGTGGCTTTCTGTTCCTCCGGAAGACGGAGGGGTCCCCACCCACAAGTTACTTCCCCTACTTGAGCCACCTTACTCCAGCGACCACCTCAGGCTCGAAAACTCTTGGTAGGACTGAGAACAGCAGGGTACAACGGGATACCTCCGAGTGGGTTCTTTAAACTCATCCTTAACCCCATTAATTTGGTCCACAATTAACGGCGTTCAGAAAGAGACACTGATACAGGCAATCACAGAGCCGAGTACCTGGTCGGGCCAGACTGTATTGGAGGCCGGGTTCCCGAAGGGTGGTGGGTGGGACGGCCTTTCCCAGGTACGCCTCCCCCTTTGGTCTGATTGGCCAGTGCGTTCTCCTGGGCGGGACTGGGACGCAGTTCGTACTTAGCCCTCTTGGGCGGGACCTGGCAGACTGCTCTCTGACACTGTTAACCAGAGACGGTGTACCATGCACGGCATCAGGCTCTGGCCATGGCTGCTCAGCACGTTGTGGCCACACGGTGAGTAGCGTTCGGTGTGCGGTTGGCGCGGGGCCCCCAGAGCGACACTTCAGGCAGCCGACGAGGTCTCGTTCCTCCCTTGAACTAGGAGCAAGGAGGGAGGACGCAAAGGTAGTCCAGTGAGCAGAGAGTCTAGGGGCAGCAAAGACCAGAGAACTCTGAGGATGAACTGTGAGAGACTTTGCTTAGGATGTATGCCTGAGCTTCCTGTGTTAGCTGGTCTCCAGCAGGAATAAAGACCACAGGGCACAATCCCCACAAAAGGGATGACCAACTGGCAAGGAAAGGAGCTCGGAGTTCCATGCGCTGGGGCAGGGGAGGCGGTTCCCTAGCTGTCTGATGCTGTGTCTCTGGCCAGGAGGGGCCTGGGGGGCTGCTGCTGTGGGAGCCTTCTGGCTTGAGGTGGTGTGGTGTACCCACCTGGGGCTGGGGCAGCGTTACTCTCCTGAAGATTTGCCAGATAGTGGTCAGGGAGACACACTTCTTTAAAAGGGATGAAGTTATCAAGGATAAGTGGTTTCCAGAACTGGACATGCTCCCTGAGGGCAGTGTCCCTGGTCAGCTGCTGGACACCAGGAAGTCTCCTGTTCTGGGGAAGTGAACTGAGGGTGTGGGCAGTAGCTGCTTTGTTCCTCAGTTAGATGTGGTCATGGGACTAGAGAAGAAAAGGTGTCAACTCTTACGTGCTGGACAAGCAGAGCTGTCCCAATCCCAACCCCAACCCCAGCCCAGGGCTCGAGTGCATCTTCCCTGGATAGCGGATATCCAGGGAGCCTTCCAGAGGGGCCAAATAGGGCATGGTCTCTGTGCACTTTGCACTGGGTGCCAGGCTCAGTCTGTTGCACCTTCCCCACCTCACCTGTGGGACCCCAAGATTTTTTAAGCACAGGGCTAGGTCTTACCTTTGCCGGATCCTCAGTCACCTGGTGATCCCGGTAGGCAGTCACACACCAGGCTAGGAAAGTCGACCAGGCAGGAAGGGCCCTCCCTGTATGCACTCAGCCCCTCTCTTCTGCAGTGATTGCCCTCAGCAACCCCCTCCCCCATGTGGAACAGTATGAGGTGGTGAGGCCCCAGCACCTGCCTGGACCCCGTGCCCGTCGAGCCCTGCCCTCCCCCTGGGTAAGTCTCTACTATCCACTCCTGAGACTGTCCCCTCAGAACCTGTTTCTATGGACTTGGCTGGGGAGGGGCTGCTTGTCCAGCCGTGGGTTTGCCCTGAGGGGCTTGCAGCCCACTTGGATCTGTGAGTCTTCCTGTCCTCACCTTCTCACTTCTGCCCTATCCCGGGCAGAGCCTGGAGCCTCCAGTGCGGGCACTGGCACTTACCACCTCTTCCTTCAGGAGTCAAGCCAGCCTAGCCTCAAGAGGTCCCTGGCAACTTGTGCCAGGTCAGGCCACTCCCCAGTTTCACTTGGCACAGCTGGTCAACCAAATTCCTCTTGAGTAGTGGGATGGCTCACTGCAGGGTGTTACGTGTGCAGTGACACGCCTTTCTGTACCTCTGAGCTGGGCTTACGTGTGCAGTGACACGCCTTTCTGTACCTCTGAGCTGGGCTTACGTGTGCAGTCACACGCCTTTCTGTACCTCTGAGCTGGGCTGGGATTTCCCTGGGTGAAAAGTGAGAAGAGTCTTATATAGGCTACCCAAGAAGATTTCCTGAAGTCCAGTGGGGGTGTGTGTGCATATGTGTGTCTGTACATATCTGTGTGATGTGTGTGTGAGGTATACATGGGTGTATGTTTCCAGGGAGGGGCCCTGTCTTGGCTCTGTCCTTACTCTGATGTCCGGAGAATCTGCCACCCCTACTCTGCTTCCTTTAGGAACAGGCATCACCATTGTTTTCTTTGGGTAGACAGAGGGAAAAACTGAGGCCCGGATGCTGGAGGACCCCCGTGTCTTCCTGGCCCACCCAGAAGGACACCTCCTACTTCCTCCAGAACAACCCAAGCTGGCCTCAGCCACCTTTTGGCCTGCCTGAGGCTGATGACCCTGAGGGTCCGCTAGGCAGGGTTCCTGGGGAGGTCCTTGGCTGGCCTGGGCCTGGAAGTCACTTACTCAGGATGCCTCACTCAGGGCCTGTACCCAGAAAAGAGGAGCTACGTCCTTGGGACTGGAGAGCACAATTTCACTCTGCACCTGCGGAAGAACAGGTGAGCACAAGGCTGGCCCCTCAGGGTGGTCCCTGGCGAGCCAGAGGCGGAGGCTCTACACCTGTGCCCTGGGCAGCCAGCTGCTGGCCCAGCTTGTCCAGGTGCGAGGCTGAGATGAAGTGACCCCGAGAGCTCCATCCGTTCTTTTCCATTCTTTTCCAGGGACCTGCTGGGCTCCAACTACACAGAGACCTATTCAGCTGCTAATGGCTCTGAGGTGACAGAGCAGCTGCATGGGCAGGTATGGGGCCAAGGCCAGGGCAGCCCTCCCTGGGTAAAGGGCTCAGAGGAACAGGGCCACTCACCCATCCAGTTTCTTCTGTAGGACCACTGCCTCTACCAGGGCCATGTGGAGGGACACGAGGGCTCTGCTGCCAGCCTTAGCATCTGCAGTGGTCTCAGGTGGGTAGTGTAGACCTTAGATCATTTCACTTTACGGAAGGGTGAACCTAAACAGAGAAGAAAAGCCTTTGGAATTAGTATTGGAGAAATGCCTTTCTTCCGCTTGTGTGTCAAAATGGACAAAGGCATTTACTCATGGCTCCTGTTAGAAGTTACCAGTGTCAAGCCCAGGATGTCCACTCCTACGTGCCCTCCTGCCTCCTGTGCCCTGGGCCTGTCATCACCTGGTGGGTGGGTGGGGGTCACTGACTACAATGTAGAGGAGCCTGTGGGTACCAGACGAGATAAACAGGTAGGCATAGGCCAATAAAACTTGCTGTTCCCCTGGCTCCCCTTCAGGGGCTTCTTCCGGGTGGGCTCCGCGATCCATCTGATTGAGCCTCTGGACGGGAATGGTGAAGAGGGACAACACGCTGTGTACCAGGCCAAGCACCTGAAGCAGAAGACTGGGACCTGTGGGGTCAGTGATGTCGACGTGGACAACATCCTGGGGCCTCGAATATTGGCAGCTTACAAGAATCAGTACCCGGTGAGCAGCTTCACGCCCCTATGTAGCCAGTCCCACTGTGGACCACTTGTTTGGGCCTGGGCATTGCTGTCTGCAGCTTCAGAGCCATCCCCATCCTGTACCCAGGTGGGTGGGCCTAAGTTAGTGCTGCAGCTGCAAAGATGGCCCTGTTCTGTGCCTGAGCTGCCTGGACAGCTCCTCCCACACTGTGGGGTGGCTGGGCCCAGGACAGGCCGTGGCTGAGAGGGTTGACTGGTCTCTTCCACAGAGCTCACTTCTATCCCAAAAGACCCACTATGTGGAACTGTATGTGGTCACTGACAGCAGAGAGGTGAGTGGAGGGCACAGGGGTAGAATGGGCCAGGTGGGCTGGACCTGCAGTACCAAGTACAAGCCCAAGGGTATTGTGTCCCCAGTTCCAGTACTTGGGGAGAAACAGAGAGGAGGTGCGCAGGCGGGTGCTGGAAGTGGTGAACCACGTGGACAAGGTAGGACTACATTCACCCACAGGGGTCCCCTTAAGAGCATCCTTGCTCCTTCCTGCGAGGCTGCCAGGACCCTCAGCAGCAGGGGCACATTTGGAGGCAGGCAGGCAGTACCCTGGCTGCCAAGGCATGTGGGCACCTGGAAAAGAGGCATGGTTATGTAGGCTGGGAGTGGGCAGGAGGGGGCTGCTTCAGAGCTCTGGGCTGAGCACAGGACTTGGCCAGCACCCATGCCCAGGGCACCTAGCAGCAGAAGAAATGTGGCTGCTGCCCACCCACCCTGCACGAGCCAACCTATGTTCTGGCCTGACCCAGGGAATGTTTTCTCTGCAGCTTTATCAGGAATTCAATTTCCGTGTGGTTCTGGTGGGCCTAGAGATCTGGACAGAAGACAAGATCCACATAAGCCCCCAAGCCGATGACACACTGGACAACTTCCTCTCATGGAGGGCACAGGCCCTAACAGGACGGCTCCACCACGACAATGTGCAGCTTATCACGTGAGAGGGTGTACCTACCATACCCACCGCAGTGGGCGGCTGGCAGGGCAGTGTGTCCAGGCAAAGAATTGTGGGAATGAGGAGGGACTGAGGAGTCGTGTCCATGTGTCCATGTGTCCATCATGCTTGTTCCTAGGGGCATCGACTTCACTGGGACCACCGTGGGACTGGCTAAGGTGTCTGCCCTATGCTCCTGGCATTCAGGGGCTGTGAACCAGGTGATGGAAGGCCCTGCCTGGATTTGCTACAGCTAGCGGTGGGCAGCTGGGCTTGGAGCCTGAGCTGGATAGATGCAGGGCTCTAACCACGCTCCCTGAAACACAGCTGATCGTCTGCCTTCTCTGGGTGCTAAGGCAAGGGCAGTGGGCATGGGTAGGCAGGCGGAGGGGCATTCCCAGTGAGCACAGCCCTCCCACAGGACCACAGTAAGAACCCCATTGGCCTGGCGTCCACCATGGCCCATGAGCTAGGCCACAACCTGGGCATGAGACACGACGAAACTATCGCGGGCTGCTACTGCCCTGTGCCCCAAGAAGGTGGTGGCTGCATCATGGCAGGCAGCATTGGGTAAGACTTCATGGGGCATGACGGGCAGGAAGGGGTAGTGCTGCACGCCGTCCCTAACCACAGGACTCCTGCCTCAGCTCCAAGTTCCCTCAGGTGTTCAGCAAGTGCAGCCAGGCTGATCTGGAGACGTTCGTGGCGAAGCCCGTGGTGGACTGCTTGGCCAATGCCCCCGACCTAGACCGGCTAGTGGGAGGCCCTGTGTGCGGGAACCTGTTTGTGGAGCATGGAGAACAGTGTGACTGTGGTGCCCCCCAGGTGTGTCCCACCCTACCCCTCTCTACTGCATCTGTGTGGGGGCTGCAACCTCTGCCTCTGCAGTTTAGAGTGACTATGAGTCACTCCTAGTCTGCTCTGACATGTCCACCATGACCCATAGGGGAAGGGAGATAGGGGCTGCCGAACCCCTGGGTGGTTAGTGGGGGCTGGTCCACCCTGGAGCTGGCACTGGCCCCACATGCAGCTGCTCAGGGTGTTGTCCCACAGGACTGTCAGAACCGCTGCTGTAATGCCACCACCTGCCAGCTGGCTGAAGGGGCTGAGTGCGCACATGGTGAATGCTGCCACGAGTGTAGGGTAAGCCAGACCTTTCCCAGAGAGTCCTATGCAATGAGAAGGGCAGAGGAGGCCAGAGAGCAGGGCCTGAGCCTGTCCCACAGTGACTCTCTCTGTGGGCCCAGGTGAAACCGGCTGGTGAGCGATGCCGTAAGGCAAAGGACGGGTGCGACTTGGAGGAGTTCTGTGATGGCCAGAAGCCAGTGTGCCCTGAGGATGCCTTCCAGGAGAATGGGACACCCTGCCAAGAGGGCTACTGCTTCAATGGAGAATGCCCCAGCACGACCCGTCAGTGCAAGAAATTGTGGGGGTCAGGTGAGGCAGGCCTGAGCACAGGACACAAGACACAGGTGCAGTTGGTGGCCATGGGCTCATCCTGGCTAATATTCTCTGGCCCCACAGGTGCGTGGCCTTCCACCGATGCCTGCTTCGCATCCAGCATTTTGCCAGGTTGCAAGGTCAGAACCTCCTATGACATGAACAGGTAAATGTCCCAGACCAGACTACCCAGTGCCCAGGACATGGATTGTCCCCAGTGGTGAGGCTAGTACAGAAGACCGTCCCCACAGAGGACTCCAACCCTGTGGCTCCAGTAACCCACGCTGCCCTCCAGAGCCCCAGCTTGAGCATGTTTGCCTTGTCGGGAGGAGAAGAGAAGGGTCCTGGGCCCATCTCCTGCAATGCCAGGCCCCTGAACATGTGCCCAGTACAGCTGGGACCACAGCCTGCCTTCTGTCTACCGGCCAAACAGATGTGGCATCCTGTACTGTGAAGGGGGCCAGAAGCCCATGGAGCGCTCCTCCTGCACCTTCACCTCCTCCCGAGGCGCTTGCCAAGCTCTCAGCGTGGACAGCAACAGTGCTGCCTATGAGTCAGTGGCCGAGGGTGCCAAGTGTGGCGAGGAGAAGGTGAGCTGGGCTGGCCGGGCAGCGGGCTTAGGAGCCCAGAAGTACCCCAGTGTGGTGTCCTGGCGGTGGGTAGCAGTGAAGTCCTCTGCATGCTTTTGGTTAAGATTGCCAGCGTGCGCAGGGGAAGTCAAGACATCGAGTCCCAGCTAACAGTTTAGATACCGCTGGACCGAGGCACCCCTCAGGACACCCAGGGGCCTGGGGCGGCCAGCCTAGCTCTGCCCTCATGGCCGAAGCTTGTTAGCGAATGGTCTAGGGCATGGTTATCCTGGGTGTTGCGCCACCCTGAACTTGCCCATTGAGTGTTGAAGGTGGTGGGGTAGGGCTAGGGGTCCAGACCCGCTGTCTGAGACACCCCCCTGCCCTCCAGGTTTGTTGGAAGGGGCACTGCCAGGACCTCCAGGTCTACAGATCCAAGAACTGCTCTGCCAAATGCCACAGTCATGGAGTAAGTATGTCCTGAAGGGACAGTGTGCCTGAAGCACAAGGCTACTGCTTTTGTGTCAGACAGAAACTGCTGGCAGTGATAGGTTTGGTTGTAGAAGCAGAGCTTACACCAGCCCTGCGTGTCATGTAAGTGGGGGTCTCTACAGGGCCCCCTTGGGCCAGAGATTTGGGCAGATGTCCTCTGGAAATAAGGCCTATGATTACTGGGCAGTATGGTCACTGGGCTACCATGCAAGAATGGGGATGCAGGGGGCCCTCTATGAATAAACTGGCCGAGGACCTTGTGCTGCAAGTGTAAGCCACTACCGCTGGGTCCTGTCCCTGAGGTCTGGCCATCCCTACAGGTATGCAACCACAAGAGTGAGTGTCACTGCCATGCGGGCTGGGCCCCTCCTCACTGTGCAGAGCTACTGGCAGATGCGTACCAAGGTAGGTAGCATCTGGCTATCCTGGGCCTTCTAGAGCCTTCAGTGCCCAAGTGTACAGGGCCATGATGTACCCAGGTCCAAGTTCAGAGTCTGTGTCTGGTGTCCATAAGAGCTGATGTTCAGGGGAGAGTTTGCAACCCTAGGCATCTGACCCAAAGAGAGCCAGGAGACAGCCAGTGTCCTTACCTCCCAGAGATGATTGAGGGCAATGCCCAGCCCAGAATGAGACTGGTGGCCTTCAGCCTAAGTCTTCTGGTCCTTTTATGGCCCAGGAACCCAGGGTTACCAGCTCCCACAATGTCTTCCTCCTAAGTGGCCCCTGACCACATGTCTGTCCGCAGCACTATGGCCTTGAGGGCCTAGCTTGGCCATACCCATGACCCTGTGAGCCAGAGGCCCCTTACCATCATGCGTTCCAACTTATTTCTAGAAAACAGGGAGCACTGGTGTAATGTACTGAGTCCTCCTCTGAGGGTTCTGTGGGCTTTTGGCTATGTGTGGGACATGAGCAGGATCCCCCCAGGGGCAAAGGGCATGGTCCACGGGGGGCAAGAAGTCTTCGTCTCTGAAGGGCCATCTTTGCCCCACCTCCCCCAATGCACCCAACTGACATACAGCCATGTGTCCCACAGCATCTAGAAGATTCCCAGTGTTGGTGGTCTTGCTGCCCCTGGCAGCTGTGATGGTCATTATCCTGGCAGGAGTCATTATCTACCGAAAGGTGTGGCGCCCTGTCCAAAACAGGTGAGGACATATTGGTTGTGACACACCTTCCTGTGCTGTGGGGACATGGTCTGTGTCACTGTTTGAGGAAGAAAACACTGCTTCATTCAGCTGGCCTAGGCAGAGAACCTAAGCAACTTAGGCTTCCCACATAATGGTGGGCCACAGCTGGAGGCTTGGGGGTTTCATGGATCTATTGGAGTCCATAACTGAACTCTAATTATACCATCACCTCTTCTCTCCAGGAGCTCAACACCCAAGCCCACCACAGGGCTGTCCAACCCACTGTTCCATGAGGAAGGCAGCAGTTTGCCAACCAAAAGCAAGATCCCAAGTGCCCCAGTGCTCATCTCCACCACACAACCCACCCAGCAAACATGGATCCCAAAGAGGCCACCTCCACCTGTAAGCCAAGTGCCCGGACAGGTTCATGGGGCTGCAGTGACAGGGCCCTTCTCCTGCCCCAGGATGTGGCCTAAACCCTTTATTGTAAATTAACCTATGTGCTCTGTACTGGCCTGGGTCCTAGTATAGCTGCTGTGGCACCCATGGGGGACTGAGTGAGGAGCTGCCCCTGGGAACCTACATTTGGAGTACAAACTTGACTTAGGGCTCTGAGGGCAAGACACCCAGGCCATCCTCCCAGCTCTGGGACATGTGCTCACACAGCTGAGAGAAAGCAACGGCCGTGTCTCTGGACTTGGGTGCAGGCACAGCCCCAGTCGGGAAGGTTTCATCTCCCTTCCCCCTTGGTGTGGGTGGTACACAAACCTTAGTTCCTGTACCCTGGTGGGGTAGGGACATAGGAGCCTTAGCCCAGCCTCATGAGAGCCTTTCCTCCTGCAGCCTCCAGTCACCATGTCCAGTCCACCTGGCCCAGTTCCTTTCTACCCCCAGCAGGCATCAGACCAGGTAAGCAGCCTTGTGTTGTTCTGGAGTCAGGGCCCTGCAGGCTGGATCCTATGAGCCAGAGCCCCAGGAAGCTGTCACTCCATAGAGAGAGCAAGTGAGCCTGGCCTTTCCAGGACATTGCACTGAACCTGAGATTCAGCAAGGCTGTGGGAGGGTGAAGGCCCACTGCATTCTTGAGACTTGGGGTAGGCAAGGCTGGTCTACAGGGTTCCGACTCTTTCTCTCTCCCCATCAGCTCAGACCTGCTCCACCCAACAAACCTCTCCCAAAGCTGAAGCCCAAGCAGGTAAGGAAACTCAGCCCTGAGAATGGCCTCCTTGCCGGCCCAGGAGCAGCCACCACCACCCCATGAGCCCCATGATGACGATGCTTCTCTTGGGGATGGGGGTCTGGGGCTCTTGGGGTCTGCAAAGGTCTCTCACAATATGACCCACTGGAGCCTTGTAAGCCAGGGCATTCCCTCTTCCTTTGCAGTGCTGGGGCTCTGCTCTCAGCATGAACTCCCACCCTCTAGGCGCCCTGCCCCAGGCCCCTGTATCCAAGTTGGATCTTCACCTAGGAGTCCGTAGAAAAGGGTGGTGCCCTGCACAGTCACTCTGGGGCCATGGCTGGACTGGTGGAGAGGGATCTACACGCTGCGCCAAAGGCCACAAACTGGTAGAACTTGAGGAAATTTCTCCAAAGATACCTTCTGTGATATTGAAGAATGAACATCCCTCTCTTGCCCTACCTTAGGCAAAGAGTGCTTACTGATACTAATTTTAACTTAGAACAAATTTTGGATTTAGGGAAAAGCCAAAGCAACAGAGTCCCTGCAGCCCCTTCCCTCTTTCTCCTGTATATTAGCGCACGCACAGCCCCAGCCACTGCTGCCCCTGAATGAGTGCGCAGCAGGTCAGGCCTGCCCACCTCCTGAAGGGCTCTCGGTCAGCTTCCACTTCGGAAGTGCTGGCTCACAGCTCTGTCAAGTGTCCCTCAAGTTCAGCTTTGCTTCTTATCGTGAGTGGATGGAGGCTCTGTGTTTTTGGCACGAATAGTGTAGGCCCTGTCCCTCCCAGGGTGTTGCCCTAAGGTAGGTGGTGGTAGCTCATGTCTGGTCACAGGGATGTTGCACATGGTGTTTTTGTGGTTAATGAACACCCTAGGAAATACATTAATATTCCCCAGATCTGACCTCTCTTTAAAATTTTGACTTGCTTGCTTTAACATCTGTTGAAAATTGTGGCCTTAGACAATTATTACTGTGTTGTTTGGCTAATAGTGATTTTCTATTTTTCTCCTTCCCTTTTTGTTTTATTTTTTACTAATTAAAAGCCTACTTCTGGGCTGGTGAGATGGCTCAGTGGTCTAAAGCACCTACTTAGAGCAAGCTTAGCAAAGCACAGGGACCGCAGTTCAATCCCCCAGCACCACATGCCAGCCAGCCCCGCCCCCTGGTGGGCTGAGCTGGCCACACACACACACACACACACACACACACACACACACACAAATAAATAAAATTTAAAAAAAAAAAAAAAAAAAAAAAAAAAAAAAAAAAAAAAAAAAAAAAAAAAAGCCTACTTCTGAGGGCCTGCCAAATAGCTCAGTGGATTAAAGCACCTGCAAGCTGGCTCAAGGGCCAGGGTTCGATCCCTGGGCCTGCTGTGCCGCCCCACCCCAACCCCCCCAGCCCTGCACACTGAGACAGTAACTGAGACTGGGCATGATGGCATGCGCCTATAATCCCAGACATTGGGAGGCTGTGAACAGGCAGATCATTACAAGTCCAATCTAGTAGTGAGACCCTGAACAACCTGTAGACCCTTCCCTAAAATACAGAAAACAAACAAATAAAAAACCCTACTTCTGAGTTGCAAAAATAGTCCTACAAGAGGTCTTGACCGGCAGAATGGAGTCAGGACAGACAGCGATTTCTAGCCAAGGATTCAAACAAGCCAGGCCAGAAGCAAGGCCAGGCAGAGCCTGTGGCCACACTGATGTGGCCAGGGGAAGGAAGGGATTTGCTGACACCCACCAGTAATTCAGTCACCCAAGGACCCCAGCCTGCAGCACGAGTGGCCCAGGAGCTCACCCTGGGAGGGATAACATGAAAAAAATGCATGTTTAGTTATAGTTAATTCTTGCTTTTGAGCTTCTAATAAATACCCACATGCTGGCAATTCAAAGACCTTTCACCTGTAATCCCAACACTCTGGGAGCCTGAGGCAAGAGGATCTAAATTCATACCCAGCCTACACAATTTAGTGACTTAGTGAGAACCCGTCTCAAAAAATTAAAAGGGGTGAGGATGTAGCTCAATGTGATAGATTCAATCCCTATTACAAAACAAAACAGAGAAAGCATTTCAGGATCATGTTTTCTTTGGTTGTTTTGTTTTGTTTTTTGGCATAGAGTCTTGTGATGTAGTTCAGGATGGGTTCAGAGTCGAAGTGCTCCTCCTGCCTCAGCCTCCCCTTGCTAGGGTTAGAAGCATGAGCCACCGCACTCTGCTCAAGGCAGTATTCAGGAAGGCGTACAGATGAGGCTGTGAGATGGGGTGGGGCAGGCAGCTGAGCAGGGGGAGCTCTGCCAAGTCAGTTGTTTTTTGTTATTGTTTTTTTTTTTTTTTTTTGAGTCTGGGTCTCACTCAAAATTTGAATCCAGGGTGGTCTCAAATTCACTTTGGAGCCCAGGCTGGCCTCCCACTCATGGCGGTCCTCCTGCTTCAGGCTCCAGAGTGCTGGGTTTAAAATCATGCGCCAGGGGCTGGTGAGATGGCTCAGTGGTCTAAAGCACCTACTTAGAACAAGCTTAGCAAAGCACAGGAACTGCGGTTCAATCCCCCAGCACCACATGCCAGCCAGCCCCGCCCCCTGGTGGGCTGAGCTGGTCACACACACAAAATAAATAAATAAATAAATAAATAAATAAATAAATAAAAATTTTAAAAAAATAAAAAAAAATAAAATCATGCGCCACCATACCTGGTTTATCCTTTGGGAGAGGGAGACCCTGGAGGGCTTTTCCGCAGGGAGTGCTCTCCTTCAGCCCTGTGTGCTCTCTCCCAGGCCCCCAAGCCAGCCTTTGCACCCCCGATGCCACCAGTGAAGCCCTGGGCGTGAGGGATCACACCTGCAATGCCTCAGGTGAGCCCCTTTCCACACCCCGGGTGGGCTCTGCCTATGCAGGGGCTACCCCACTATACCTGTAGCACTGTCCTGGAGTGTGTGTGAGATGATTTCTGTAGATTATTGGCTGGTAAACTTTGATGGTTCTCTGAAGAAAGCAAAAAGGGAAACTTATCAGTCATAGGTTTATTGTAATCTCTGCTTTCTAGTCTCTCAGAGGACTTTTCAGTGATTGTTACTTCCTATTAACTGTCAATTTTAGCCTTTTTCCTTCCTAGAATAAATAATAAAATCTATATAGTGTTAGCTATTAATATTGTGGCTATCACAGCTATAATCATTGTGTAGATAGGGCCATCTTATCATTGGGTATACCAAGAATCTAAATTTTAAGAAGCAAAAATGGGAATGTTGTCATACCCTTTGTAGTAGATGATATTTAATGTCAGGTGACTTTTTCTCCTCCAAGGAACTTGATGGCCCAAAGTTTGCCCTGAACCCCCAGTCCAGAGGAGGTGACTGGACAGAGCACCACAGCGGGCCTCTGCAAGCCCTGGGGAGTGTGGAAGAGCTCCAGAATGGTGCTGTGGCCGTGCTCTTCAGCCTCCCAGGGTGGCCACCAGAGCCTCAGCTCGGGACTCAGGGCTGACCCCTCAGCTGCTCCTCTGACCTCAGGACTGCATCAGACAGAGGCTCAACACCAAGCCATTCTTACCTGTGTTGGCCACGTTCAGCCTGCCGTGTCTGCAGTGACTAGGTGGGGATTTGAGGTCACCTGCAGTGTGGGGGGCTGAGGGAGGTGCAGCTGTCCCAGACAGCTATACAACCCAGCCCCACACCACCCCCGTGCTCAGGCGGCCCAGAACTGTCATCCCAGCCACCACTGTGCCTGCTCTCGGGCTTGACCTCCCAGAAGACGCCACTAAGGACGAGACAGCTCTGGCGGTTTCCTGTAAAGAGTGCCGATAAGTGAATTGTGTCTGTTATCAGCTACACGACCACGCCCATGATTTAAGAAGGAGTGTCTGCTTTTCCGGAATCACTGACATTATGGGGTCAGGGCAGATGGCTACTGACCCGTAGTCTCAGGGGATGAAATCCATTAATTATAAAGCTTGTATTTTATCAATAAACTATAGACCACGTTTTAAAGGGCAGGGTATTTTTATTATAGCGACACAACTTTACCTTCCTTTCCCTGTGGATTTTAGTAAACACTCCCCTCTAATTAAACAGGTTGGTCCATTGACAAGCAGCAGAGCCGGTGACACCAAA